CAGAGCAAGGAGAAGGACGTAATTGCTGTTTACTGCAGTCGGGAAGAGCAGGTTTGGGAAGCAGTGTTGTTTTGGGTTGCTCAGTGTCGGAAGCCCACAGGGCATTTAAGTGGAGATGTTGGGGAGGCTACCTATACAAGTCTGGAGTTCAGACGAGGTCGGGAGCAAACATCTAAATTTGGAAATCATCAGTATTAGATGGCATCAAAAGTCCCAAGCCTGGATGACATGTGAAGATAAAAAAAATCCCAGGACCTCACCTGGGGCACTCCACAATTTAGAGGTCAGCGAGGTGAGCAGGAATTAGCAAAGGAGTTTGAGAAGGCACTGTCTGTGAGACAGGAAAACCAGGAGTGTGTGATATCTTAGAAGCCAAGTGAGGAAAGTGTTTCTAGAAGGGAGGAATGATATGCCATGCCTTAGTCCTTGCTTTACTGATGAGGGTTTCTGAGTGCCTGGATGAGAAAATGATGTGCTCCACAACCTAGGTGGGTACAATAAGTAACAGATTCCTAAGTCCCTAGGCTGGTTACTCAGAGATAAAGTGAAGGATATAGTCTCTCTACAAAGACAAAAGGCAGAAAAAAAGTCTGATGCAATGACAAGTAGATGGATTAGAAACTGCTTGACTGATGACACCCAAGGCCACACATAAGTGAATGAATGTCAACCCCAAAGGAAATTTCTAGTGACATGTTATTGGGCTCTGTCCTTGGCCTGTTCAACATATCAGTGGCTTTGATCAGCGATAACTAAACTTGACTGCAGTCCGCACAATCTCGGAGGCTTATGAAAATAGAGCATCCCAGTGTCCACCCAGACCTACTGAATCAGAATTTTCCCCAGGTAGCACTGGGGCGAGAATCTAAAGGAAGGCCTGAGCAGAAGAAGGGATTGAGGGAGGAAGTTGATCAAAATGTACAGGTCAAACCCAAGCCAAGTGGAATGGGGAATGTGCCAGATGACAGCTGGGTACATGTGGAATCCTGTATTTGACTCTGGATGGGGTACACCTACTTGGATCTGAGACCAACTTGAACTCTCAGTGATCAACAGTGTGATCTCAAGCTGTACTGACAGCAAATGAGGGGAGAAGGGACACAATGCAGCCATATTCTCTAAGTCCCCTAAAGCAGCCTGTCAGTGGTACAGAGGTCAGGAGAGCATGACTAAGATGCGGAAGGGACTCCACCCAAAGAGAAGCAGAAGTTTAGCCAAGAAATTCAGAAGGAACCAGGACTCCACCCTGAATACCCAAAGGTCAACATGTACAGGATTTATTGTGGAATCCAATAGAGAAGAGCCGAAATCAATGAGTGAAAACTACTAGGACATGGTTCTACTTTGGTGGAAGGAAGGTTTTTTCAACAATAGTAAGAGTAACACAGGAAGATGGAAGTGGTGAGTACTTTGCCATAGGAATTGTCAAACTTGTATACACTCCAAATTAGCGTTCACTGCAATGTTTTATTTTATGTACATATGTATATGTTTTACATGTATATTTATACCCTTCCTAGACTCTAAATTCCCTGAGGAATTACATCCCAGCATCCAGCACAAGCCCTGTCCCATGTTATGTGCTCAGCAACTGTTATTTGAATGAATGAATTGATCATGGCTGGATGCCACCACGTCTGTTGTACAGCTGCCAATCATGCTAAATAATTTCGATATTCCTTCTAAAACAGCAGATCCTATGATTTCTGAAAAAGGGCACATAAACCAGTTTTCCTTGGAGACACAATCATCCTCTGCATCTTCACAGTTGATTTGGAATTTAGATGAAATGAATTCTTTAATTATTATGTGTAATAGTTAACAATAATATTAGCCCTAGGTTTAAAACTCATACTGGTAGTAAGTACAATAAATGTGAGGGGTAATAATTTTGCCTCCAGTGTTTCTGTACTCCACCTAAAAATGTCTACTAAGGAAATCTGATCCTTCCAGCAGTGACCCAGTTCAGAGACTTACCTTCTGGGCCTCCTTTCAAGTAAATGTCACCACACTTACTGATTCATGCGCTGCAGTTATGGGCTCAGCAGCTGGGTGCCACCCACCACCTTTGGCAGGCTGTGGTTCACCTCGGAACGTCATCCTATCAGAGGCCTGGTCCAGCTTAGAAGTTAACCCAAAGGGCTTCAGCAGAACAACCTTTGCAGTGGCCAAGGCAATCAATGCACATCACATCCTCCTTAAGAGAACCCAAAACAAAACCAATTCTCTGGTCCATGAAGTAGAGCCTGGAACCAAAGCCACCATTCTGCACTTGTCCCCATGTAGGAGTGGACATGCTATGGTCATGCATCCAGGGGAGGAAGCCATGTCTCTAAGAAACATTTACTTCATACCAGGCAATGCCTTGGGGGCCATCTCATAGACATTTCACAACAATCCTATGAGGTGATACTAGTGTCCCCATTGCACAAAAGAGGAAAGGGCATCTCAGAGAAGTTAGCAGGGTTGTGCAAAGTCACACAGATGGTAAATGAAGGAGCCAATATTTGAACTCAGGACTGTTCGACTCCAAAGCTGTGCTTTTTCCACATAGCAAGCAGAACTATCTTAAAACAAAAGGACACTCCCTTGTCAAAATGCCCTGGTGATGCCCTCTCATCCAAACTTCTACAGGACCCATTCTGCTCGGGCCTCTGCCTGCCTCTCGAGCCACATCCTTTCCTTCTTCTTGCCCTTGCTCTCTTCCTTCCAGTCCTACTGGCCTTCCTGCTGTTCCTAGGAATCACCAAGTTCCCGGCTCAGGGCTATTACACTTGCTATTCCTTCTGCCTGGAGTTCTGTTCCCCCAGACCTCTGCAGATCCCTCTGGCTTCATCCAGGTCTCTGCCCCAACACCATCTACCCAGGGAGGCTGCTCCCAACTGGCGGATCTAAAAGAGACCTCATCCCCCACCACTCTCTAGCCCTGACTCTACTCTACTACACCTTACGTTCTGTGGCAGCGCTCGCCAGTGCCTGGGTGCATATACTTGGCTAGTTAACCTCTTATTGTCAGCGCCCCACTAGAGTGCAAGCTTCCCTGGAGGCGGGGACTCTGCATCATTCAAGGCTGCATCCCTAAGCCCAGGGCCCACTTGTGGTCAGCGCACCAAACTGGGTTGCTGCATGTGCTCTATCCTCTGCCACCTCCCTTTGGTCCCCGTGCACACAGTGTGGCTACACAGTAGCTGGGTGACCTTGACCAAGTACCTTCAGCTCTCCAGAGAAACTTTCCACTTACTGATAGTGGCCCTGACAAAGAAGGGACTGCCATTTCACCCCTCCCTAAAGACCGCATCACCCCCTTGCTCTGATATTTGCGCGACACTGCCAGTTTTAGAATTTTGTGATTTGTATCAAGAGAAGAGACATTTGGGGCAACTTGTTGAAACAAAAAGATAATTATATTTCACAAAGGGGGGGGGGATCCTTCAAAACAACCAATTGTCTGTTTATTGCTAGAATAGACAATTAGTTCATTTAATGCCTTCCAGCGTCTTTTCAAAGCAGATAGAAATGGACTCTTATTAAAGGAAAGTTATAAAAAGCTGTGTTATCTGGCACTGAGCCAACCAGAGGGCTTCTAGAAGTGGAATTTCTGAGATTCCACCAATACAAATCTCCAAGCTTACAAGGGGATCAAGGCAGAAGCTAATCATAATCCAAGAGAAGACCAGTATTCAACATAAAAGTTTCCAGAGATAAAATTATCCCAGTTTTAGGAACTTAATTTGTCTCCCTTCACATGTAATCACTGCCCTGCCTCATAACATTGCTGGAAAGTGGTTCATTCTCCATAAAGTATTTTACATTCTGTAGCAATATTCTGCAAATGAATAGCGGGTAGTTCGTTCCAAAACTCAGGATTCACTTTGAGTTTCATTTGATTCAGTCTATCTGAACATTGTTTTAGTTGTGGAAACTCCTACTGGCATCTGAAGGATGTTTGTTTGCTGGACTTTCTTAATTTTTTCTCTCCTTTCTTAATACATATGACACTTCAAAGAAACTCTTGGCTTCAGGCTGTGGTCAAGCTCAAAGGGTGAAATACCAAAGAGATAAGAGAACAATCTTCTGGGAAAATTTAAGCCTCTTAGTTTACTTTTAACCAATCCATCCATTCTCTCCCTCTCACAAGGTGGGAGATGATCAAGCTTTACTGTGCAGCCAAATACCAAGACAGATAAAATGCTGCCAACAAGTTCTCTTCCAAAGAAGGGAGAAGAAAGGAGTTTGTATTCGTTTTTGAATTCCAGTGTGTGGCCTCAGTGAGGGATGTTGTAGAGAAAAAAAATAAAAAAGTGAGGATGGGAAATAAAGTGGAGGAGCGGACACAGGGCAGGAGTGTCCAGAACACTGTATCTTCACTGTAGCCTAGAATATGCTACTTTCTGTTTCCAGATATTTCCTTTCACTGTACTGTATTTGATCACAAATTATGAATATTCCTAAATGCTTTTAATCAGAAGACAAGTATTCACATTCTTTAGCATTAATAATAAGTTTATCTGATATTCAAACACAAATTATATCCAGCTTTCTCCATAGGACATGCTCACAGCTTATAACATAACGCTCATACTAAAAAAATCATGTTTATGGCTTGAGCAATCTTCCAAAGGGTTAAAAAATTTGAGAAAAAAAGGCTACAGGTGGGTTAGTGATATTTATAAGCATCACTGAAATTCTTGTGCCAGAGTGAGGAAGCGTTCTATGGGGACATATATCTCTGGCTAACTGATAAAATCCCAATATATGTTCTGTTGTGCATGTGTATTGTTACTTGTATCGTTACATCTATAATTATTTTGATATAGTGATCAGTTTAGACACCATTCCTAAAGAGTCTGAAATATGACATTATCTTCCAAGAACACTTTTTTTAAAGAACCATGTTTGTTTATACTCTGCAGTTGCAAAGAGAAAAAGGAGATAACATATAGTATAATGTGCAGACTCTAACAACCCAAGTATGTGCATTTTCATGATATTCAACTTACTTTTTCATTCCACGCCCACAGTCCAATTCCAAGAAATGCTATTCCCAAAAACTGAAAGAAAGAGAGAAAACAGTATAAGGATAAGGGTAAACACCATGTTTTTATTAATACAAATGAGAAAGTTTTCAATCAATTCTTTTGCCACTTTACCTGGCTGAGAAATAGTTTTCTCTAAAATCTGAGTAAACATCTTTAACAGAAAAAGAAAAACAAATACCAGAATCCCCTTGATTAAAGTTATTATAGCATTAAGAAGGATAGGGTAAAAAAAAAAACACAATATGGTACACATGTACACACACACATACACACACACACACACACACACACACACACGCACACTGAAATACTATTCAGCCTTAAAAAAAAGAAGGAAATCCTGCCATTTGCAACAACATGGATAAACGTGGAGGGCATTATGCTAAGTGAAATAAGCCAGAGAGAAGATGAATACCAAATGGTATCACTTACATGTGGAATCTAAAAATAAATAAATAAGTCGAACTCACAGAAACAGAGTAGAAAAGTGGTTGCCAGGGATGGGGGAATAGCGGGTGACTGGTCAACACGTACAAACTTTCAGTTATAAGATGAATATGGTATGTGGTTCTAATGTATGACGTGGTGACTATAGTTGATAACGTATTGTATAATGAGATTTGCAAAAAGAGTGAAACAAATGTTCCTACCAAAAAAAAAAAAAAAGATAAATATGTGAGGTGATGGATGTGTTAATTAAATGGGGGGAAATCTTTCACAATATATACTTATATTGAATCATGTTGTACTCTTTAAATATCTTACAATTTTATTTGTGAATTATACCTCAGTAAAGCTAGAAAAATAAATGAAATTTTTAAAATAAAAAAAAGGGTTAGAGATACGTAAGTACTTAGAAGTCATTCAGATTATGAAGACTAATTAGTAGGTAGAGTCTTGAATAAAATCAAGTCATTGCTAACGTTTAATGCTTTTTTTTTTAAAGATTTTTATTGGGCAATTGGGGGATGGGAACAGTGCTGGGGAATTAGGGGAAGGGGAACAGACAAGTTGCTGTCGTTTTGTTCTTCAGTCTAGTTGTGGAGGACGTTGCTTCACTGGCCCAAGTTGGCACCATCATTGCGCTCTTCCCAGGCGAGGCACATCAGTCGCCGGCTTCTGGACGGCCGCTCACTGCAGCTGCTGGCCGCTCACGCTGGCTGCTGGCTACACACGGTAGCCCATGGCAACCCACTGCCACAGGGGCTGCAGCCTATGCCGTCGCCGGCAACTCACGGCAGCCCAGCTCCAGGTTGAGCTGTTGTTCAGCATCTTAGCTGTGGAGGGCAGTGTCACTGGCCCTCATATGTGGGATCCGAACCGGGGCCCTCTGGCGTCCCAAGCCAGTTCTTAACCATCGCGCCACTGGGCCGGCCCCCTAATGCTGCTTTTTAGGGTAGGAGAGGAAACAGTGCATGCCCCCATAAATCCAAGCCCGGCATTCACTAGAAAATGGAAAACCAGGGACATGCATTTAGGTGAGCTGGCAATTCTATCTTTACCATCAAGCCATTATAAATGGGCAAGGTCAGAGAGGGCACTCAGAAACCCCCAACTGCCCCTCAACAAGCTCTTTATCACTCCTTCAAAAAGTAACATGAATTTTATCAAGTTCAATGTGACCCAAAGAAAATCCATGTTTCTTCTGTTTTTCAGAAATTTAAATTACTTATTGGAATTGAGAGGGCTTCCATAATATGGCCTGGTCTCAACTCAGTGCCATAATTTCATGTATAACACTGAGCACACAAAAAACACAAGGCTGACTTACAGAGAACACAAAACGAACTCAACCCCAAGGCAGAGGTGCCTCTCATACATAACTACAGATCTCAAGTGCAGATCTCAAGTGTGGGGTCGAGATAGGGGGGTGAGAAAGGTGGTAGGAGGGGACTATGTTGGTAACCAGGGGGACTTTCCATTTTAAGTATTCTCACTGGATTCCATCTTCTCTAAGATACACATTCCCCCCACACACGTATTCTAACATCTCTGAAATTGGGATGTGTCTTAAAATTGATGGCATCTCAGTTTTTACCCCTTGATTGTACCAAACATAATAGTGTGTCTTATAATCAGAGCGTCACAGGTTTGATGACACATTGTACAACGCTATCCACCCACTAAGGGCTCAGTCATTAGGACTGGGTGTAACTGGCCGTGAGGAAAGACTCATCTTATTCCTCATCTTCATTATCAGTAGCAACTCTGAATTTCTTTTCCAAACTCTGAAGTGAAAAGGAAGTGGGCAGGTTGACGAGCAGGCGCAGTCTGATGGCAGCAGTGCGTGCTGTTTATTTTACCAACATCTTGATTAAGTTACACTCAGGAAAGCTGTCCACCGAGAGGGGCGCACAGAGAAAATGAGAGTGAGGGTGGCCATTCTTTCCAGTTTCAGGGAAACCTGAGACCTGTCCACCTGGCGAGGTCTTCACCATTCGCCTTGGAGAGTGACACTTTGTAGGCATGAGCTAATAAATCCAACAGGGTCTGGGAAAACGGCAGGAGCAGAGAGAAGAGGAAGAGAAGACTGAAAAAACACAAACAATTGACTACCCTGAAAAAGTGGTGGGTTTTTTGTTTTTCTTTTTAATTAGTTTCAGGTGTACAACACAGTACCATAGTTATACTTTTTACTCCCAAAGTGACAACCCCTCTCCCCCAATCCACTGCCCCACTTCCCCCCATATCATATATATCTATTACAATGCCATTGACCCCACTCCCACACTATACTCCACGTCCTGTGACTATATATATATTCAATTATAGTTGACATACAATATTATACATCAGCTTCAGGTGTGCAGTGCAGTGGTCAAGCCTCTACCCCATCCATGAAGTGGTCTCCCTAACAAGACATGTGCCCATCTGAAACCCTACAAAATATTTACAACATGATTAATTATATTGCCCGAACTGTCTTTCATATCCCTGTGGCAATATTGTGGTTACCTATTTATGCTGTCTAATCCCTTCCCCTTCTCCCTCATCCCCACCCCCTCCCAACTAGCACCCATTAGTTTTTCCTCTATATCTCTGGAATCTAAAAAACTAAATGAATGAGTGAAGTAAACAGAAATAGTCTCAGTGGTGGTGTTTTCAAAAGTAGAACTTCCCAAATCTCCCGAGAATGATCTAACACTACAGAAAGAGTACGCAATACTTCTGAGCCCCTCTACAAAAAAGCTTCAGCATGTCCTTTGTTGGGCGAAAACTGAAGACACTTTTATTCCTGTTTTTGCTCTAAGGGGTTTGAAAAGTGTTTAGAAAGGTTTCTTGTTTTCAACATCCCAACAGAAAAACTATGGTCAGCCCCTCCCCTCTACTGCCCTGGTCAGAGTGCTATTTCACTTTATGTTTCCGACCCAAAACAACAAAGGTACCAGTCCCCCAAATGACTCAAAGGTACTTGGAACTCTGTAGTATAAAAACAAAGCAGTTCAGCATGTTACTGTCTCACATTTATAGATCCAAGGCACAGTAGGGTAACAGGTGACAAGTACACACACAGGGTCCCATCAGACCTAGAAATCACTGGGCGAATGACTTCACACACATCGACATCAAACTCAGCCCAGTGAAACGCCCAACTTTCTAATGCTAACTCTCTTTGAGGACAACGCTCGATCATCTCCACTGATGCAGTATTTAATCAGTGTCACCACAACATGGGTGGGATGTTGTGGCAGAGGACCTCATGGTCAGCTGTCCCTCCCGCAGCTGAAGAGGAGGAACATGTCACTGCTGAGGGCCCTGCCGCATTGCTAACATTTGTTTCTCTTTATGACTCGCCAGGCACTTGTGTCTCATGCTTTGTAGGCCATGTTTCTCTTAAGCATCACAAGTTTTGTTTAACATAAGCGCTAGGATTAACCCCATTTTAAGAAACAGAAAAATGAGGCTCACAGAGGCAAACAGCTTCTAAATGGAGAAGCAGAGCTTTGAACCAAGAGGAGTCTAACATCGACGTATATGTTCTTACCACTCCTGATAAATCCCCATTTCCCCCATGAGACAGAAAGTGGAGGCATTCAGGTTAGAATTATATTGGGATAAGGCCAGGACATCATATATTCCCTCCCCAGGAAGCAAAAGGGAGTTGAAGAGGTAGAAAGAGACGAAAACCTTGCCTTTACATATGAACTGGTTGGAGAACAGAAATGCCCCATGGTAGAGTCAGCAATGGAAGGAATAAAAGAGAAATTCCATGGTCGGTCAACATTCTCCTCTTGGTATAAAACTTTCCTCTCTCCTCCTGAAACTTTGAAAACTCTTTTTTTTTAATTTCATGAATCATATAAATGGATTGGGAGCCAACAGTTTTCTGCAGAAAGGAGAGAGAAAAAAATCGGGATTTAAAGAAGACTCACAAACAACTCCTTTATAGTCTTGCTCCAATATTTCCTGCTTTAACTGTGGCTTTCCAAACATGGGTTTAAGAATTTGAAGAAACAACCCTGGATTTAAAGTCAAGGCAAGCACTCAATACCTAAGCAAGCAAGTGGTGCGGGGCCAGGGCCTCAGCTTGTGCATACCTTCTGGGCTACATCACTAGCAAATGTCCTCCCAATTACTCTCAGCCCATATGTTTTGTTTTAAAATCAAGTTGTTCCAGCTCCAAATAATTAAACAGAGAGGAGCCAAAAAACAGAGACAGGCACGCAGCACTCGAGGCACACTGAGTTTCCCCTTCCCACCTTCCAAAGAAAAGATGACCGTAAACCACCAAACTGACCTCATTCTGAAACCCAGAGGCCAACTTACAGGGAACAGCTGAGAGCACTTAAAGTCAACTCTTTATTCCTTTGAAACAGAACCAAAAACAAATCTGAGGCATCTTGTCACATGACAATGTATGCAAACACACAGTACAAATGTTTGTCCACCCAATTTTTGATGTCTTAAAATGAATAACAATAATTTTGCCAACACTCATTGAATGCTAAGTATGAATTTGGTACTGTGTTTTATATGAATTAGCTAAAACAGCACTGCCTAATACAGTAGCC